ATAATATATTCTATAGATTCTTGGGATTGTGTAGCTTTCTGATGGTAAAAAATGTTAAAACCAGTTAAATAGTTCCAGAGACTAACCGATCAAACTAAAAATGTTCTTCTGTATATTATATAACCCCTTTAACCCCTATAAGAGTCGAATTTTGAAAAATAATGTGTTAGGGGGGTTTCGTATTATAAAATGAATTTATTGACACAATTCTATAGAATKAAYTGTGAATTAAATTAAATTTTAAGGTATACTCATATCTYCAGTGATTCCGACTAGGTGATATTTTTTATTACCACTTTTATCCCCTTAGAGGTTGAATTTTGAAAAATCCTTTCTTAGTTAGTCCTTTTATTGCTTAAGGAACCTCTGTACAAAATTTCAAGTCTCTAGACCCAGCGGTTTGGTATGAGAGTTGATGAGTGAATATGGGTCTTCTATATGTTAAAAGATGAATATTATAGTGAATTTACGATTATTACTATTCATATAGTTAAATTACAATATGCGTCGTAGTACCGTTTAATTAAAAACATTATTTCAAAAAAAAAAAAAATTGAGTTAACGTTGAGAACTAAAATGTATTATATTATATGAGCTTATGATATTGTATTCCCATACTTAATTATCATATTATGATATGTTTTAATAAACGGTAAATTATTTTTCAAGTGTAATTAATTTATGTCCACGTGYGTTGTTCTCGAATATAAGTTTATATATTTATAAAGGATATGCATAATAATTTTGTGTTAAAATTTTAAAAATTTCAGGAAAAAAACAAACACATTTATTAACGGTTTAAAAAAAATTAGGTATAAAAAGTTGTAAAATACATCAGAGAATGGCTTAAACTCTCAAGTAATGATAGAGTGAGTGTCATATTTCCTTCCTCGGTTTAACGAACTCCGTTCTGAATGACGATGTTRGGAAATATATGACTTATACAGTAATTGGGTGACTACAACATAAATTATTATGTTATTTGCGTTATTGTGTTATAAAAATAATAATAATAATAATTTACTACTAGGTTCTGATGGAAAATAGATTACATAAATAGTATGTACATGTAATATATTAATACATTTATGATTCAATTTCAATTGTATTATCCTACTTAATATAGCAAATGACGTATTCTAACCCATATTATTATCCTCATAGGTTCCATAAAGATTATTATTATACCATCAAATTAYAGAATAATTTTAATAACATACCATTTGTGAACAACCTCAGCTTACTTACTATAAAGTATAAATGAATATCTATAATATCATTGTGCACGATGTTTTAAAACTATTGCATTATAAAAAATGTTTAAACTAACTTCTTATTATTTATATTATTCTCAATATATTTCCACTAATTTTAAAGAATTTAAATACAACCTTGTATAGTTGTTATAATTTTCTAAAACATTCAGTAATTAAATCGTAGATAATATGACGTCCAATCCATGATTTCTATAAAGCGCATTATAATGATTTATAATACATAATATATATACATATAAGGATGCAATAATTAGATAGATATGTGGATAACAACTAAAATTCATATATATATGTTATGGTAAAAGTACGAATACCGGTTAAACCTAGGATTTACCGGTAAATCCTAGGTTTCGCCGACTGCTGTTGGTAAAACATAGGATACACAACATCGTTTGGTCAAACCCCGAATGATTTTTATAGTTCGGACTTTTACAAACGAGATTTGGTAAATCTTAGTGTTAGTAAAAGTACAAAAATTTTTACCAAATGTATTAATTATTATTATTATTTAAGTTTATTTAGGTAGGTACTACATCAATGCCTATAATATATTAAATACACACATTTATATTATTGTTATATATTATGACAACAAATTTATATAATTATTACACAATATTATTGCTGTAATGCTGTTTATTATTATTRWTATTATTATTATTATTAAATACTAATGCAAAAATTGACATATTGAATGCACTAGGAACATTTATTACCAATTAACATTTCTACCTCCATGACCTGTTGCAATATGTGCTTCATGAATAATTTTATACAAATCATCATAGCGAACATAGTAACGCATTTCTTTGGAGGCACCATTTATCGGAGCAATCAGTTTTTCTTCTCCGCTAATGTTAACAATATCAAACCGTTTAAGCCGTCGATAGTGAATTTTTTAACTTTGACCAATTTTGATTCTTTCACTTCGTTCAATAATACATCATATTTTTCATTAGTTATGTATAGAGTGTTTTTATTATTTTTTGCTTCAACAACACCATTTAAAAGTTCATAAAACCGTATTTTAAGTGACATATTGAAAATCGTATACTTTTCRCGACAATTGCAAAACGAATACTGATCACAATAATATTTTYAATATGCCTATTCAATTTATAATYAATCTATTATAAAGCCTGTTCCGTACCATAAACTAAATTGTATGTGCAACACARTATTAAGTAGGAACAACTTTTATCACATATCTAGGTACCTTTTGGGCTAATTTATTGATTGTATTGTGATTCTATTGATAGTGATTTGATTGTATGAGTATTTAG